AATCTCTTATTTTTTTATTACAGAGGAATATTGAAGCTTTGAAAAACAAATATCAACAAGCCTTTATTATTATTGCTGGAGATTTTAATGCTGTATTAGATAATTCAGCTGACAGATTTCCTTCTAAGATGGGCTTAACAAATAATATTCTTTGTACTTTGTGTGATTATTTTCATATTGCGGATGCATGGCGCTTTTATCACCCTGATGTAAAGGAATATACTTGGAGTAATAATGTGTTGTCCTCTAAATCTAGAATAGACTTTTTTTTAATTTCTCAACAGTTACTGCAATATGTGTTTGATGTCTGTCACCAGTATGCTCCATTCTCTGACCACTTAGTAATTAAGCTGATTTTGCAGACAAAACACAGGGAGAGTACTGTGCGTGGTTACTGGAAATTGAATAATAATCTGCTAAAAGATAAAAATTTAAATGATCAAATCAAGGGATTAGTTAAAGGAATTTTTTCTAATAATGAATTTGAGTCTCATGGTGCTAAATGGGAATATTTTAAATATAAAGCAAGATTACTAGCAATACATAGATCTAAAGCCTTAAAAGTGGTTAATGCTGATAAAGAAGCCGACTTGCTAATTAACATAAATACCTTAATCAAAAAAGAGAATCTCTCTGTTATAGAAATGAGTCAGTTAAAAACTTTGCAATTGGAATTAGACCATATATATTTAGAAATAGTTAAAGGTGCCTTCGTTAGATCCAGAGCGAGATGGATTGAGGAAGGAGAGAAAAATACGAGCTTCTTCTTCTCACTCGAGAAAATAAATTTTAAAAGGAAAAGCATCTCTGCATTACAAATTAACAGTTCAGTTTCTAAACACCCTGAAGAAATTGAGAAATTTGTTACTAATTTTTATAGGAACCTGTACTCCTCTGATTTTCAGGCAAACCAAAGTAAGTCATACCTACAACAGATTAAGACCTATATACCTCAAATAAGTGATGAATTTAAGTTATCATGTGAGGCTCCTGTTTCCTTAAATGAAATTAGAGATGCAATGAATTCAATGAAAAAGGGCAAGTCACCTGGCTCCGATGGCCTTACTTTAGAATTCTTCATACAGTTTTGGGAGTTTTTAGAACAACCTTTTTTCTTAATGCTTCAAGAATGTATACAAAATGGAACAATGACTCCTACTATGAAACAAGGGGTGATATCTCTCATTCCCAAACCAGACAAAGATGTAACTATAATTGATAATTGGCGCCCTATCACTCTTCTTAATTTTGATTATAAATTAATTGCTTCCATATTTGCCAAGAGATTAAAACAACATTTACATCATATCATTAATGAAACACAGACTGGATTTATGAAAGGTCGTCATATTAGTTGTAATACTCGACTTGTTCTGGATCTTATTGATTATAGAGATGAAATCAAGTCTGATGCAATTATCTTATTCCTCGATTTTTATAAGGCCTTCGACACTGTAAAGCACCAGTTCCTTATAAACTCTTTAGAGGCTTTTGGATTTTCCTCGAAATTCATAAATATGGTTCAAATGTTGTACAAAGAAATAGATAGCTGTATAATTTTAAATTCTCGTACATCACCCAGATTTCCTGTTCTTCGCGGAATACGTCAAGGTTGCCCTTTGAGTCCCTTTTTATTTTTATTTGTTGTAGAAACATTATCCATAGATATTTTGCACAATAATAACTTTGCTGGCCTTGATATCTTTGGCAGAGAGATTCGAATCTCACAATTAGCAGATGATACTACTTTATTCTTGAAGGATAAAGAGCAAGTCTCTCCAGTCTTAACTACAATTAATGCCTTCTCTAACGCTTCTGGGCTCAATGATTTATCTTTAGAATCTGCTGTTAACTTTCTTATCCTTGTGGCAAAATTCTATTTTAACAAACAAAGGTTTCTTAAGAAAATACCTACTTTTATAGATTTCTTATGTGAAGTAGAACATTTAACTAAATCACTAAGAGTAATTAATAACAAAAAATTTATTTCTTTTTTGAAGAGATATGATGAGATCTTTCATGTACCATGATTAATATGTGTTTTGATGTGTTTTTTTTGTTTTTTGTTTTTTTAAATCCTCTTTTCTTTATTTGTTCTGTTCCTGCCTTTTATGTTCATAAAAAAGATGTTTAAATGCATCTTTCTCTTTTAACAGTCATTATCAATTCTGTTTTTCTTCTCTTCTCTTTCATATGTTCAGATGACACTGGATGTAGTGTTGATACAGTATGTGTAATGTATGCAAAGTTGTTATTCATTAATGTCAACTCTGAATCGTTTGCAATAAAAATAAATCAAATAAAATAAAATAAAAACTCTTGGAAGATCTACACCGACTGGCATAACCTGCAGCTAGACGTGAACGGATTCAAAAGAATCGATTCACTGGTATGATTCAAACTCAGCACAATACGCCCCCATTTTAACTGAATAAACTAAATAAAATAAAAGCAGTCCCTGAGTTCAAAAGTCTATCGTTACCACATTACAGTTACAATAAATATCTTTCCAATATATTCATATATTCAACTCCACATAATAGGCCTACCTTAAGTTCCTCAGCGACCTCTTGAATTGGACGATATGTGTGATTTCTGTGCTCCTCAGATAGTCTACAAATCTCACAGAGTAACTGCTCATCATCACAACACACCAGAGTCCGTTTCTTCTGGTGAACTTCACACAGCTCCTCTAAATGCCGCCTGTGATCCAGGAACACCTGGCATAAGTTTTTCAAAGCCAAGTTAAGAGGAGGATTGTTCGCAGCAGACATTTCTCTGCACACTGGACACACTCTTTCACCCTTGACCCTCCAGTACTGCTCAACACAGGCTCTGCAGCCACTGTAGCCGCAGGGAAGAATCACAGGGTCGTCGAAAATGTGTAAACAAACAGGGCACGATAAATGTTGGTCAGAAAACGACCCCATTTCGCCACCTTGACCACCACTACAGAATTCAGCGAGCTCAGTGTCAACATCCAGCACCCGTCTCCGGTGCTGGATTTTGATTGGTTAATCAGCCGTAGTAAAACGACGCGAATCACCTGTTAACTGTATCACTGCGCAAGAGATAGCAACGGGCTGAGGATACTATAGAAGGGACTATATCTTTCTGCGGAAAGAATTAATGTAACACTATACATGCAGTGTCATGTTTTGCTCAAAACCTTGCTGAAAACCTGTTCTGCACAATCCTCTACATGCTTTCTGCATTCTGATTCATAGTTTTTTCTGTTACTTTTACCTTACATTTTACATCAAACTGTATTTTTTTCCCCACTCAGTTGGGCCTCTGAATGAAAATGAGAATTTTTTGTCCAGCCATAGTCTTATATTATATGCGCCATAAAAAGCTAATGTATAAAATATGATACTACACATAAGCAAAATATTAAAAATATATGTCAATACAATTAGTACGGCCCTGCTTCTAGGGCATTTGACGGGTTTTTATAGAGTAGAAACCTTCAACTGATTTAAAGGGGTCATATAATGCGATTTAAATTTTTCCTTTCTCTTTGGAGTGTTACAAGCTCTTGGTGCATAAAGAAGATCTGTAAAGTTGCAAAGACTAAAATCTTAAATTTAAAGAGATATTCTTTATAAAAGTTAAGAGTCAACTACGCCTACCTAAAATGGCTCGTTCTAACACGCCCCCACATGTCTACTTCACAATGTGGGAAGATTTGCATAACGGCGCCCAAATGTTCATGCAAAGAAAGAAGGTGTAACTTTTATTCTCGCTGTAGTATTGTTGTTGCCGCCGCCGCCATGTCGTGAAGGCGCTGTGTGTTTCATTGTGAAAGCGAAACTACTTTGTTTGGCCTTCCAAAAGAGGACGATATCCACTTCGTCATGCCTAGAGCTGATCCGTGCTGGTAGCTGAGGAAATACATCAACTTCGCGCTGTGGACCGCCGGATAGGCTTTCACCGTCGACGAAGCGGAGTCCAGCCCGGGGTCGTCACATGAGGTTGCCGCAAGCCCGGCCGCCGCCACTCACTCAAGCTGGCCTCCGCTCACTCTAGGCCGCCGGCCGCTGCTCATTCTAGCCCGCCGTGTGTGACGCTGTGTTTCATCGTGAAAGCGAAACTACTTTGTTTGGCCAATGCAACGTGTAAAAAGACAGTATAAGTCATTATAATCCGTAATTATGTCCCCACTGGATGCAACAAATGCCTCGTTTATAATGGGTTTTAATGTTTTTGTCTCGTCGCTCCGGCCGGGACAAGGCACAATCACAATCACAATATGGTAAGGGGCGTAACATTTCCATCACACGCTTGAAGTATTCGGCCAATCTGGATAGATTGGATAGCTGGCCAATCAGAGCACACCTCACTTTTCAGACCGATGAGCTTTGTAAAAATCGATGCGTTTCAGAAAGGCGGGGCATAGAGAAGAAACAATAACGTACAGTATGTGGAAAATAATGTGTTTTTTTAACCTTAAACCACATAAACATTTCATTACACCAAATACACAAAATAATGTTCTTTTTAGCAACATCATATGACCCCTTTAATTAAAAGACTTTTTCATTCAGGTAGCTAAACCTGTTGGATTGAGACATGTTTATGACTTATGATTCTTAAAAATAAACATCATTATATTAACTATTTAAACATTAAAATGTTTCAAATTAAATGCATCTTTACTGATGGCAATTGAACACAAACAAGTACCATGACATCACTTTCTCCACTCGTTTATAATGCAATGCTTTATTTTGGTAATGAAAGCATAAATTAACTTTTGCTTAACAAATTAACTTTGATTAACCTTAAATATTCAGCAAAAGTCATTACAAACAGCCCATATAAATGACTATAACACCAATGTCATTTTTTTAAAGCTTACTAAATTTTAATACTTACTAAACCACCATAATAACCTCAAGAACACAGCAAAAGCAGACATTTTTTCCTTTCTGTCAAACACAAGACATACCATAGCAATGAAATGTTCGTAAAAACTACATTTTGTAAATGTAATGCGGTACTTCAACTCAAATTTAAATCTGCCTCAGAGAAGCAAAAGACAAAACTAAATCACTGAATCGGTTCAAATGCAAAGGCACTTTAGATTTCTTTATTGAACGATTTAGGCAGAATAGTGAGAGGAAAATGGCACTTAGTATAAAAGAATGGAAAGACCTTCTCAGTGAAATTGTGTGTGAAGGTGTGATAGACCGTCTCTCCCAGAAGATCTGAGAACGACAGCCGTCCTGCACTCAAGTCCAGGTTCACCCTCACTACTGTGGGTTTCGCAAATCCATGTAGCGGGACACGGGACTCCAGAGGATCCGTGACACTAAGTACTTCCCCGTCATGCCCAATACACCAGATTCCACTGGGCAAGCCATTGGTTCCTTTTCTTTGGACAGACTCTACGGCGACACCCACCATCCAGGACGTGTTCTCCTCCACGTCAACGTCCCAGGTGTGCTTCCCAGTGGAATATCCCACATAGCCCAGCACACAGGGACAATCAGCAAATCTCTCAATGTTATTGTTACTCTGCTCATTAATCACCTCAGATTTATTGGGATTCCAAACACTTGTCGGATCAACAGATAATGTGAGGTGAAAGTTGGCTGTGTTAGGGTCCAGAACCACAGGAGCTAAGAGAAAGAGTGTTTAAGAGCAGAAATGAAACACTGAAAGAAAGGCTGCATTTTTTGTATTTACAAGAGTTTGAATTATAGATTGACTCACTGTAACTGATAGATCGTCTGATTTTCTGCCAAACATTGTGATTAAAGTTGCCCACATACTTTGCAATGTCAATGAGATCTCCTGGAGCCATCTCTGGATCCTCAGGTTTGCACTGGGCTCTGGAAAAAAATATTAAGCAGTGAGAACTTATGCTTGATTTCAAAACTTTGTCATAGTTGGAGAAGAAACCCTGCTTACCTCACCAATGTGTCCTTGAATTTCTATTGAAAATGTAGGAAATAGGAACGGTTTAATTTTTGAATTTTTTTTAATTCACTTTAATAAAACATAAGACAACAAAACAAAGAGCTAACCTGAATTATTCTGATGTCCCCGCTATTTAACTCCTTTTCCAAGTCTTTAATAGTATTTGTGAGCATTTGAATTTCTTCACTGATCATCTCATTTTTAATTTTCAGACTTTCTAGTTTCTCCTTCTTTTCCAGTTTTAGTTCATTAAACATTGCCTTTTCTTCGTCATCCAAAAGCTGGTGAATATCCTTAAACCCAGCCTTGATTCGATTTTCCAAATCCGCTGCATCATACTGAAAGGATTCACATTTAAAACACCAATACATGTTAATGCTTACTCTATACTATTGTAACAATTATAACGTGCTAAGTTGACTATATTAAAGGTGCACCGACAAAATTTTTAATTTGAATTATTTGAAATTGTGCAATCTCATCCATACATTTTCTTATGATCAGCTTATGCCACAGTGATGGTTATGTTTAGGGGTGGGGTTGGGGGTTCATGCTTACATTTTAAAAACGAAAATTCGTGATTTAAAAAAATATATATTTCAACATTAAAGTAATTTTGTATAGTAACCTAAACATGTTTAGATTTAAAAGTTTTGTGACTATGTAATAAGTTACTTGGTGCACCTTTTAGCATTTGTAAATAATTTGTAAAACTTCTTACATTCATCTTAAGTGCCAATAAATCCCCCTCAAAATCAGCTTGCTGCATGAGCTCCATGTTCTCCTTCAAGTGATCAATTTCTGACCGCAGAACTCCCTAAAATTAAGGCATTTGAATTGCTTATTAGAGAATTAAATATTCAAAAGTTGACCTAACATCATTAAAATGTTATACATCTTCAAGATACCTTATGTTCCTCCACGACCTCTTGAACTGGACGGTATGTGTGATTTCTGTGCTCTTCAGATTGTCCACAAATCTCACACACTAACTGCTCATCAACACAACACACCAGAGTCCGTTTCTTCTGGTGAACTTTACACAGCTCCTCTAAATGCCGTTTGTGATGCAGGAATGCTTGACATACGTTTCCAAGAGCCAAGTTAAGGGAAGGCGTGTTAGCAGATATTTGTCTGCACATTGGACACTGTCTTGAGTCACTGACGCTCCAGTACTGCTCAACACAGTCTCTGCAGAAACTGTGGCCGCACAGAAGCGCCACAGGACGATCGAAAACATCGTGACAGCAGCACACAAAAAGTCTGCATCGCAAAACGGACGTTTTGACGCCATTTCTTGCACCCCTAACCCAGTTCACTCCAATGCCTCGTCACATACTTACGAAGTGGCAAGTGGTCTTTGCCAGATTGAGCTGTAGGTGATGTTCTTTAATCCATGCCGAGATGTCCGACAGGCAGCCTGAGATCCGTGCAGCTACCGTTGGATCATCTGGTTGAAATGAAAGATGTGTGTCATCAGCATATGGTAGGAGAAACCATGTGCCTGTATGATGGGACCCAGTGATGTAGTGTACTATATGGAAAAGAGAAGGGGTCCAAGAACTGATCCCTGAGGAACCCCAGTGACAGTTGATGTGCTTTGGATACCTCCCCTCCCCAGGCCACCCTGAAAGACCTACCAGTGAGATAGGATTCAAACCAGCTAAGTGGAATCCCTGTGATGCCTTGAGCCAGGGACAAGAGGGTGGACAGGAGGATCTGATGATTATGATGACTGTATCTGGTGTTCAGTCGGTTCTTTGAAACTTTTCTAGTCTCGAGATTATTGGAGACATGGAGACCAAATGTGCATTCTGTAACTTAAAACAATAATAATCCATAAAACATATATAAAAACGCACAAAATTAAAAACGCAGCTAATTACTTAAGATATATTTTTTATTGTATAAGAGTTTGTAACTAAATTGGATGATTTAGAATTTTATTGTTTTGATGCTACTATTATTGTAACAATAGTACACTGTGTATGTATATTTCTGTGTAATAATTCTTGCTCTGCAATAAAAAAGGGAGAAAGGAGAAAAAATTGAGAATTGTTTTTTGAAAGAACAGAAAAGCGTACAGTGGTGCATCAAAGAAAAATATACAGATAGTCATACAATCATTTACTTTAATTCTGACACAATTTCAAATCACTCAACAGTGACCTAGAGATTATTATTTACAGTTATTTGAATTATTTACAATTGAGTCACTCAGGCCATAAAACATTTTAGCTGCTCAGAATGTACTAAACACATACTAAACATTCTGCAACAGCAATATAATACAAATAAACAGTATCAGCAATCAACAACATTTACACAAGTAAATAATACTAATAAATAAAGCCTGTACATAATGTCTAGCTGCTAGCTCAAAAGTATATATTCCATTTAACGTGTTATTGTCCAACAAGCATAACTAACTTTCCAGTGTTTGACGCACACTTATATATCAAGGAAGCTATACAAACAAGAAAACATAATTAAAAACAAGTCTTCAGAGACAGTTTATATAAAAAAGGCGATTTTCATTTTTTAAAACTTCTGCCCATTTGTTCTTACTTCTGAAAAGCTGTTAACTATTTGATTTTAGTTAATGGCAGCAAAAACTTTTCCTCCTACATCTGGATATCATGAACCAAGGAATAAAATCACTTGTATTTCAACACTTTGACACATCTTCAGCAGACAGATGTTGCACAGAGAAACTAACCGACCTGAAAGAATAACAATAATTCCAAAAGATGCAGTTTATACATTCAGAGAAAATGTTACATATTAATGTGCATATCATATTAATGTAACATCTTTAGTTTAGACCTAGAGTGTTTCAAACAGGCCACACAGCTGAAATGTATTGTGTTTTTAAGTGAACTGTTGGGACACTGGGATATACTTTGAAAAACTGGGACGAAATGCTACATAATGCTAAAATATATACAAGCTCATATAGCAATGAGCACTGAGGGTGTGTACAGTGCTTAACAGTGTTCAATGTTTATTAAGGCACTAGGATAGCAGAAGCAAACAAGATTTCAGGTCTGTTTAAATGCAATAGCTCTTCATTAGGGATGTTAACAGGTGTAAGCACATACATCATGTTATTTATCAAGAGTGAAATAATCTTATTAGTTGACTTTCTATAATTCACTACAGTAACTGACATCCGACCAAAGCTAAAAGCATCCAGACATCCTGGGTAGACCTCATGGGTTATGCTAGTATGATATGCTTATTATGAGAAGTTATATTCTGCTTATTACTGTATATCATTAATTTAGATTCTGAATGAGAAAACGAAATGAGAATTCCTGAGTTCACTGACTGTACCTGACCTCATGACCCGTTTCAGGAGCAAAACACTGAGCACAACAGTGTCCTGCAAATTATTTTGATGGTCTCAGCTGTCTGGGTTATTTCGTAGCTGCATTATTTGCCACTGGATTACTTCTTTTCTATTTAGTTTCCTCCTCTGCTGGGCCCTCTTCAGAAAATGCATTCCTGTCTCCAGCGCCAGTGGGGGTCGTGGGGATTTGCATTGAACTGTCTGATATCTGAGACAGAGTGTCTGCATCTTGATCTGAGTGCGCTTCATGGACTGGAGAGTTGGGCACCGCAGAGGAAGAAATGGAGTGCTACATAAGAAAGAAATTAAAGAAATATATTTGATAAATACTTATTATATATTAAATTTTTTTTTACAACTAATATATATATATATATATAAATAAAATTATCTTGTTATATATTTTTTTCCTATAAATTATTATATCATTATAATTTAATATATATATATATATTAAATTTAAATCAATTTTGTTGGGTCAAATTGAAGGTATGTACCTGCAAGGAGACACTCGATCTGTTGCTCCTGTCCTTAATTTTGGACCATGTTCCTTTCATTCCTGTTTTCTCTGTCATCTCCAGCGCAGCTTTTAACAGTTTGGGCGTCTCGGCGCGAGGAGGAATAATCGGAATGGGCTCCTTTTCTTCCTCTTTCTTCTCAGCAGGCTTTTTATCCTTCATCACCATTTTCCTTACGGGCAAACAGCAAGTCACACATTATTTGAACAGAAGCTAGGGCTGGAAAATTACCTGGTGAAATTACTAGTCAAATATCGTTGCTTCATCGTAGTGGAAAATGAAAGTAAAAATTGGGAAATCCTTATGTCTCATTATTTTCCTTTCAGTAGTTGCACTCACCTTGCTTTCTTGCGCAGCAGTTTCTGGGACTCTGGATAATGCACTATGATCTCATTCAGGTCCCTTTTGGTCAAGATGAGGAGGTTAGCAAAACCACGTGCTACAACATTAGCTGTCCGCCGGTTTCCTCCACCCACAGCAAGCAAGCTTTTTTGGAGAAGAAGACATGAACTAAGAGCAAATTTGACGATTTCATACTGACAAAACTAGAAACTGCGGCCCTTACCTGACCTCTCCAAACACAGCTCCTGCTTTCAGGGTCACAAACACGGTCTTTCCATCGGGACCACCAACTACCTGGACTTCCCCTGCCTTTATAATGTACATCTCACGACCCACTTCATCCTGTAATAAATTAATTAATATATCTCTACCTTTACTGCTGTAGTAAAATGACTTGTCTGCACAAACACGAGCCGCAGTCTAAACATCTTCTTTATGTTCCTTGCCTTCTTGCAGACATAGTCTCCTGGAAGGTACACCACTGATCTGAGCCTTTTCAGCATGTCAAAGATCATCTGTCTATCACAGCCCTGAGAAAAACACAATGCAGGGAAAAAGAGATGCAGATAAGGAATACAGCAGCAATGTCTAGGCAGGTTAAAGATTTACCTAATTTTTTTAATAAAATGCAGTTAACCTAAGGCACTTACAATTGTAAAAAACAAGGCCATGTACTTTAGTGATTTAAAAGTAGAAATGTAAAGTTTTGTATATATACATACATTTTAACACCAACTGAGGCAAATAGTTTGCACAATTCAATTTAAATTCAATTTATATTAAATTATATATGTTTATTTTTATAAATATATATATATATATATATGCATGTAATTTATATATTATTTATTTAAATATATTTGTTAGAATTTTACTGTATTTATTAGAATTTATGCAGATTTTTAAGTTTTAGCACTTGCCTGGAAGAGTGGCACTTTACTTATAATGTTGTAGCTGACGTCCACTGCTATATCCAGCCTCATCTTGTCGGGTAGTTGATCTAATAGCTCTTGTTCATCTGCATGAAACCACAAAATGTCAATTTTTATCTAAAGTAATCAACTGACCATTATGGATAAATGCCTGTAATGTATTTTGGCATTGATGTCTGTCTTATGGTCTTACCCAGCATGCCTTGGGACTGCCACGTGTAGCTGTACCAGGTTTTCACTCTGTTCTGCACATCTTTAGGGATGCGGTAGGAGGCCATGTACTTCACTGTGTTATCCACACAGGCACGATAGTTTGTCTGAGCCGCAGTCGCTGCACCAACAACGTCTCTCATCTGACACAATGCAAGCCTCGATCAATGATATTAAACACTATTGAAAACCAATCAGTTGATGCCTTTCACACAATGATAATGGCCTTACCTGACCAATCATGATGGAGAACACAAACACTCCAATAAAGTAATTGATGAGCTGAAACACAATCTCAAAAAGTGTTGTGGGTTCTGGCAGACCACCAATGGTCAGCAAAGTCTTCACAGCAAAGTAGTAGCAGCGAAAATAACTGAAATAATCACAAAGTGAATATAAACAAATTAGTTATATTTTAAAATATAAATTTTGAAAATATTATGTTTAAAGATAAAATTTAAAGGGGTTATAGGATAATTGTTTTTATTTGTTTTAAAAAAAATCACCATGATTTGTAAACATGAGTAAATTAACATATGCCTGCCCACATTTACATATTAATGACTATGCAGCAGTTTGGCCTACTATAATGAACAACCTTATGTTGATGCATCAATTTCAGCCAATCATAACAGGTCATTTACATACATAATTCTTAAAGGTACAGGAGCAAAACATGTAAAACTGTTTTTGGTGCAAAAAAACTGGATTGGATGTAAACGAAAGCTAATAACAGAACTGATTAACTTACCTATTGCCTGTCCCATCATAGGTCCATTCTGAGAAACCCAGACCTTCATATGAAGAGCCCCAGTAGTACAGACATGCATTGCAGTGGACGGCATACAGCAAGTAGGTGGTGGTTCGAATAACTCTGATAAATGAAATGAGAGATATGAACGGGCATAAACACTCCAAATAAAATGTTGCACAAATTCTCAATAGAAAAGTTTATAGAAGCTAACAGCTAACCTGTAAACGTAAGCGTTGGTCAGTATAGCCTCCAGACGCTTGTTGAACTCAAAGAAAGACATGAACTGCACAAAGGAAGGACACATTAAAGAATTAGCTAAGTTCATCATGGACTGATCTTTCTAAAGTCCAGTTAGACGGTCAGAGTAGCAGCTTGCCTTCAGGATCCTGGGTAAGCGAAGAAGTGGATTAATCCCTGTTTTGAAGTAGAGGAGTTCCAGAGGAAGTAGACTGACCACATCCAGCTGCAACACAGGAAATTACATCCTCAGACTACATAATGTGTCCAGTACCTCAGAGCATCAAATTTAGTCAGTCTGAAAAAGTCCAAATTTGTATTTAATGAAACGATAAACAGCATAAATGTCTCACTACCTTGAATCGTACAGCTTTGATGTAATTATTTCTCATCTCTTTCTTGCCGGTCTGAAAACAAATATTTTTCAAAACACAGGGTGAAAAAAACATTAATTTTACTCTAATATTTTGCTTGTTTTTGTCTATATTTACCACAAGGTCTCCATGACGCACAAACTGCAGTCTGGGTTGAAAGGCCAGGATGTCCAGTATGTAAACGGCATCACATAAGTAGTCAATCAACAGCCAAACATGGATGTTATCCGGTGTTTGATATGGAAATGCCCAACGTACAGGGATCATCCACGCGTTCCAGTTAAACGCCAAAGACACGCAAAACAGCCAAAGTACGTAGATCAGATCTACAGAGAATACAGAGCAATGGAAGTTTACTCAAATGGTTCATGGAAAAATTTATTTAAAACCAAACAAATTTTAGGAGTTGCAATGTTAAATTTTTTATTTATTTACATTAAACTTGAATGATTTAAATGAATTAACAAATATAAATATAAATTAAATCACCAATGTGCACCAAATGTATCCCTTTATACAAAAGCACAATTTTTTCTTTTAATTTATAATTTATAAACCTGATGCTTAGTTACCAAAGGCTTAAATTTAAAAATGAGAGAGGAATAAGAAGCGTAGGAGGAAAAGGGTGTGAGAACAGAACAAAAAAATGAAGGAAAATCAGTAACTGATCGGATTTATGGAATGCCAAGACAGCTAAAATTAGACAGTTGTAGTCTTCAGGATTACAAAGAGAAGAGAGGAGTGCAGGAGACAGGAGGAGCGCTCACTGGTGAAGGGGTCGATACTGGATGGAAAACCGTACTGCACAAGTCGACCAATCTTGGACTGAGGTTTCACTTTACAGCACAGGACCTTTGTTTTCTCCTCTTCTTTCTCAGCAGGGGCCTCGGATACCTCCTGCTCTGTTTTCTGCTCTGCTTGAGGTTCAGGAGGAGGAGGAGGAGGAGCTGGAGCTTGCTTAGCTGGGGCTGTTCATAAAAGACCATATTATTTGGTACATACACTTTGAAACTGTAATAGCCCTCAAAAGTTTGTGTACACTTAAGTCACACATAAAATGTATGCATTTCACCTTGAATAACTTAAGTGGCATGTGCAAAGAAATTATACAGCATTTCTCAACAATTTTTTTTAAACAACTAGCCCCAACTTTAATTAGGAACTAAGTTCATTAAATAATGTTTGACAACCAGCGTCCAAATACTTTTTGTCTTGATTAAGCACATTATATGTATTGTTTTGTCAACAAACTCATTTATAAGAAACAATTAGCTAGAATTTTTGCTAGCATCTCCTGACATTCTTTATAATAAATGCCACTTGGTGTGATATTTTGGGTTTAACTCACAGGCAGGTGGTGTTTCATCATCCGAGTTATCTGGATCAATCAGCTTCTCTTTGACTCGCTCTGTTCTCTCTTTGAACAGCTTGACCAGCTCTTGTAACCTCTCATTTACTACCGTACTAGTTTGGCTGGCTGAAGAGGCTGGCCGTTGATTTAGCCTGAAGACAGAAGATAAATACTGCATTAAAAAAAGTCATCAAAACAATCCCATATTTATATATATTGTTCTTGGGTTTCCCAAAGCAGACTAAAGAACATCAACATAATTTGCAACTGGCCTATATAATGTGTTTTGTGCCACATTTCCAGCAACATTTTCATGCATTCATGTTAATTTCACATTTTAAAAGAGTATGTATTTGTTACCCGTCATCTGCACTTGAGATGCTACTCTGGCTTGGCCAGGCCCGGACTGCAGTTTCTAACTCCTCTTCTTCCTCATCATCTTGTGAGTAAAGTCTTTTGCTGTAAGAAGACAACAAGGGTATGTTATGATGGGGCTCTACAGGACTAATCACAAAAATAAGACAAGTTACAATAAATGCATTGAAAAATGAAATGAAAAAAACAACAACTCTGGAATGGCAAGTAAGGTAATGGGAAAGTCTTCACATACTTAATAATAGGCACACAGATGCACAAAATGAAGAGGAGAATATGGAGTGGATTGTTCTGAGAGACTTATTTAAAACATCTTACATCTTGGTCCAAATTGTCTGTGGTTTTCTGTCTCTGCATGCACTGTTTGCATCCAGTGATGTGTATATATGTGCGTAAATGATTGTGTGTGCACAGACAACAGAACAGAAAAGAAACAAAACATAAAATGTATATCAATATTTCTGTATTTTTCACAGTTGAACTTGTTAATTCAATGTATATTTGTAAACCCTGGGTTAACATTATGATTTGCATATTTATGAGGGCAATAACATTGATTGGATGTGAACAGCACACATGGCTTTAAGAGTTTCCCTCAGACAGTGGGAAAGTGGAAGTTTCTGTAAAACATGAAGTGTAGTTTGGGCTTTATGTTATCACAGGACAAGTGCAGTGCAAATGTCATTTATATTTACTCTTTAGGTGTGGTCACCTATACCACTGTCTGAAATCCAACCATTTCGATAAGAATCCATGTAATCTGGAATTTCGCATGAGGGTTCAAGTTGTTCATATGAATTCACCGCATTACTTCTTGATTTGAAAGTGACTTCTGTGTGAGCAGTGCCTTATACATTGCTACATTGACAAAAAAACAATAGATCTTTTTGCCTGTGAAATATTGCTAATGTAACCACACTTTTCTACATCCATTGATTAATCAAACAAGGCAGATTTACCTGGTCCGACTGGCTTTACGGGCACCAGGGACGGTGAGGGTTTTGAGGTTAGGGTCCTGTGGGTTTATTATTGGTGGTATGGGGCGAGATCGTCTTCCTCCTTTCCCTCGGTCGGAGTCGACATCTTCGACATTCACGGCCGGGTGCACACTCAGTCTGGAGCTCACTGGAGATTAGACGATACTCGATAAAGAAACACACAAGAAACCTTGACACGGACACCTTCAGTAGCACCCTCTTCAAGATTTACCTTGAGGTAAAATGGACCTTAGGGAATGAGGTCAATGGTTGGAACATAAAGAGGTCACTTTGGTCACTACAGGCACCCACAACCTAACTTTTTCTAAGTCACATTTGGCAGCAAGGCATAAGAAAAGCATAGCACAGACTAGTCTAACAAAAAAGGCGACAGCGTGGATCACCTGAGGGTCTAGCAGAGGTCGGGTCATCCTCAATGTGAAAGGCAGGGTTGGAGACGCCTGACAACTGCCTGGAAGGGGTGATGGGTGGCAGACGGGGGTAAGAGGGCACATTGGGTAAGTCTAGGACGGAGCTTGGGGAAGAGGGTGAAGGGGTAGGGGGGGACTGGAGCGGGGACTGGCGGACGAGACGGTCCAACTCCAGATCCCTACTCTTCTGCGGTTGCTCCTTGGGCATCTTGTTCTGGCTTAAGTTTGTTGAGACGGCTCTGAATGTTAGAGTAGCACTGCTGGGCACACTGTGGAATGCTGGATATCTTCTGTGGAATGTTGGTTATCTTTTGTGGAATGCTGGATATTTTTTGTGGAATGCTGGAGAGTTGTTGCGGAATGTTGGAGACCTGTTGCGGAAGGATGGAAAACCGTGGAATGCTGGTTAGCCTTTGTGGAAAGTTGGATACCTTTTGCGGGAGGTTAGAAATTTGTTGCGGAATGTTGGACAGCTGTTGTGGGAGGCGGGATAACTGCACGGGGAAGCTGGGACAATGAGGAGCACTAAAAAGCGTCTGGTTTGGGAACTGTGGGGTGATATTGGAGAATCGCTGAGAAATTTGTTGCGGTAGCTGTGCCAGTTGAGGAGGGAGTGATGGCAGCTGTTGGGTGATTTGAGAGATAGCAGGGGGCAGATTGGGCATTGAAGGCACTTTGGGCAAAGTGACGTCAATGTCTTTCAGGAACTGGTTGAAGTTGTCAAGGGCCTGTGACGCATATGGTACACGCATGAAACACCTCTTCAGCACATCACATCTGGAAGGGACTGTGGGGACAGCAACACATAGTCAAATATATTGTATATTGCATGAAATGTGTGCAATATTTGATGCTCTGTCATATAGAACATATGGTGGTCCAGTAGTGCACAACACAATGAAAATGCCACAACACAATGCATAGGACTAATTTCATTGTGCTGTGCTAATTCCATTGTGTTGCAGCTTGTTTCCATTGTGTTGTGCTAATTTCATTGTTTTGCGGCTTGTTTCCATCGTGTTGTGCTAATTTCGTTGTGTTGAGGCTTGTTTCCATTGTGTTGTGCTAATTTACGTTGTGTTGCGTTGTGAAATCTTCCGTTGTGTTGTGGAGATTTCATTGTGTTGTGCACTACTGGACCACCATATGAACATTCTGATAATAATGTCCAGAAATGCCAATTTCAGTGGCCCCAAAACGTATCGAATTAGATAAAATATCAAACCAAGTGACATTTATATAACACAAGAACACTTTTCTAGCAAAAATATTCACAAAAATAAATTTGTTAGGTTAACAAAATAATAAAATCAATAGAAATGCCAGAACTCAATGGAAAGGATTTTTTTCTGCTTGCCCTTTGTCGGGCTATTAGTTCAGTGTTCTACTTTCCCTGCCAACATTTTAACTGGCACAGGACTGAAAATTATGAATTTATCATTTTATACTTATTAATTTTTTTCCATTCAGTATTTAATATTTATTTTTTAAATTATTCTAATAATACTATTGCACATATATTTTCACAAATAATATTTTCCACTAAATGCTAGGCTTTCTTTAAAGGGGTCATATGATGTTGCTAAAAAGAACATTATTTTGTGTATTTGGTGTAATGAAATGTGTTTATGCAGTTTAAGGTTCAAAAAACACATTTTCCACATACTATACATTATTGTTTCTCCTCTATGCCCGCCCTTTCTGAAACGCGTCGATTTTTACAAAGCTCATCGGTCTGAAAAACGAGGTGTGCTTTGATTGGCCAGCTATCCAGTGCATTGTGATTGGCCGAATACCTCAAGTGTGTGACGGAAATGTTACGCCCCTTAACATACTGTGATGCCCTCGCCGGCCGGAGCGACGAAACAAAAACATTAAAGCCCATTATAATCCAGGCATTTGTTGCATCCAGTGGGGACATAATTACAGATTATAATGACATATACTGTCTTTTTACGTGTTGCATCGCGCCGCGTAAACATAAAACCATGTCTGCATTTGTGATTGGAGAAATGACAAACAACAAGCGCTACACTGCTTCACTTCACTTCAAAGAGAAAGGAAAAATTGAAATCGCATCATATGACCCCTTTAAATTGAAAATGTGCAATAATAGCTGAAAATTAAAAGTACTATAATTACAATTATACAGGATACTTCAAGACAGCAATTAATTCATAAACACTTGTGCTGGAAAACAAACTGGTTTACATAACACTTTCTGGTTGTCAAAAGTTAGCACAACATGTCCATAGTTAATGTTAACTACAATGCAATGGCAATAATAAATAAAGGTTTGTCTTAAAGGGGTCATATGATGCGATTTCAATTTTTCCTTTCTCTTTGGAGTGTTACAAGCTCTTGGTGCATAAAGAAGATCTGTAAAGTTGCAAAGACTAAAGTCTCAAATCCAAAGAGATATTCTTTAAAAAATGTAAAAGTCAGCCACACCTACCTAAAACGGCTCGTTCTAACACACCCCCACATACCTACGTCACGATCTGGGAAGATTTGCATAACGCCGCCCAAATGTTCACGCAAAGAAAGAAGGTAACTTTTATTCTGGCTGTAGTATTGTTGCGGCCGCCATGTCGTGAAGGCGCTATGTGTTTCGTTGTGAAAGCGAAACTACTTTGTTTGGTCTTCCAGAAGAGGACGTCATGCCTAGAGCTGATCCGTTCTGGTCGCTGAGGGTCACATGTGGTTGCCGCAAGCCTCCTTCGTCGAATCCACTGGCCGCGCCGTTCTCAAGCGTGCCGCCTCTGCTCACTCTAGTCCTCCGGCCATTCCTCACTCTAGCCGCCGGCCTCTGCTCACTCTAGACCGCCGTGTGTGATGCTGTGTTTCGTTGTGAAAGAGCAACTACTTTGTTTGGCTTT